CCCCAAAACCCCAAAACCCCAAAACCCCAAAACCCCAAAACCCCTTTATACATTCCTCACATTGAATGAATCTTTCCCACTTAACTAACAATCACTACAAAATACATAAAAAATCCCCCAAATCCACATCAATCCAACCCCTCTTATTTCCTCCTACCCTACCAACCTCCCCCCCTCCCCCCCTTCCACCCCAAAACTCCCCCAAAACCCCAGCCAAAATCCCTTCCCACACAAACTCACCTGCCACGAACAAAGTATAAATCCCCAACATTTCCTAGTACAAATTTTGTAAAATTCCAGTGCTTAGGCTACAGAAGAGTTGAATGAGTAGGACAGATGGAGATTTTAGAAGAAGGAATTGGGAAAATGGGGGTTAAGGGATTTGGACAAGGGAGGTTTTGGGGGTGGAGGGGTGAGAAGGGAGTGAAGGGGTTGAGACAAGGGGGATTTAGAGGTTTAGTAGAAGATTAGGGGATATTTTTGCTTATTAGCCAATTTAAATACGAAATGAAACTGTGGAAGATTAAGAGAAATATTATGTAGAGATTATGATATAGTTTTTGGTTGGAATAGGCTTATCTGAACCTGTGATATTTTAAAATAGCAGAGATTGCGATCGACTTCTTAGCAGCTCTTCTTAGTTTCTGACGAAGTGTATGGTTACAACAAGAACACCCTGGTTCCTCTTTGTTCTTAATATTCTTCATTATTAGGTCAGTCTCATATCTCTCTCCCAACTCTTTACAAGCTTGCTTCATGTCTTGCTCAAATTTATCCCAAACACCTATGATCTGTTGAACTTCTCTAAGGGTACGCTTCCCCTGAGTTTGAGTATTCTTAATCGACCTGAGCAAGTTCTCTGAAGAAGTTTTGGTCTCATAGTGATCCTTGAGAACCTGGTTCTTCCAAGAATCATGTTGTTCTTGGATGTCTTTGGCTTTCTCATCCTTTTTGACTCTCAATGGGCTTGGCATTAAATCGTTATTTTTATTAATTTGATATCTAATTTATAGCTTTCAATCCCATTTGACAGTTTCGGGGTTTTGGGGTTTTGGGGTTTTGGGGTTTTGGGGTTTTGGGG